AGCGACTTTTAGAAATAGAAACATAGTATATACAGTATCTATTTATTTCGTTATCTTTTCTAAAGGAAAGCTAGTAATATTTTTTTGTTAAATTTATGTAATTCTAAACGTACAGCATGTATTAGATCGAATTATAGTTTAACAATAAATAAAGTCCCGGTCAAATTATTAATTAATATATAAATAAGTAATTTCACACTATTTTTTCTTTTGACACAATTCTATTTCCTTTTATAAATCTAATGGAATATCAAACCTTAACCAAATTGCTAGAGGATCGTCTTCAAGTTTATCTAGATCAAATACAATGAACTCACCCTTACGTAAATAGCTATTAATAACCATTGAAGTATTTTTTACGTCATCTGTATATCGTCTAATAATTTTGGAGATATTTTCATGTGAGCTACCAGAGTTAAATATTACTAAGTGAGAGGTGTTTTCACGCATAAATGTAGTGATTTTATAATATTTCTGCGCTATGTATATACATGAAATATTTCGATGTCACCCATTCCCAAAAAATTGGTCAATTTTATTCTGTATATACTCTGGAGCAAGACATAAATCTTCAAAAATAATTGTTGTACTTCTTTCAGGTGAGAACGAATCTACTCTAGGAATTTTTTCAGGTGAGATATAGGTAAATCTAATATTTTCATAATATGGAGCTCTTGAATCGCTTGCAATTAATTTGTACATATATCTAACAAACATCCATTTCGGCTCATCAGGATGATAATCACATACGATTAAATTATCACAAGAAATATATCTCTTATCATCTTTTTTTCCTTTATATATACATTCAGCTTTATCCCCAAGAAAAAGATTTACAAGTAAATTTGTTTTACCTCTACCGCTACTTCCAGTAAGTATCATTCTGAAGGGCCATGTTGAACTAGCAGGATGAGATTGACAACGAGATGCAATATGCTTATTAGCTTCGTCCATATCCATAAGGAATAGTTTCATTTTCTGCATGTTTATTTCTATGGAAAGGTAATATATATTTCTTAATAATTTGTCAAGAAATATTACTTGATTACTTGTTCCACATACCTCGCAACTGATTGCTTTTTTTACCTATACTCAATTCACGTCTCAATATACTGTTATATATATCGAAAAAAGTTAAGACAAAGCTCTAACCTCAATATATTCATAGCTAGAATCTAATTTTGAAACCCCACCATGCAAAGAATATAATATTTAGAATTCTGCCAATTATTTCAAGAATTCTACGAATTTTTATAATTTTAAGAATGCCAAGAATATATGGAATATTAGAATTCCTGAAATATTTTATTATATAAACATAATGAATTTCTACGAATATTATTCAGAACTTCTTAAGAAATTACCACCTTCTATAAAAAAGAATATATGGAATCGACTTACTTCTAGAGTACATAATCCTTTGTCAGAAGAACAGGCAAGTAGTATTTATCCTGATATTGAAATATTGTTAATTAGTGAAATTGATAAATATTCAAAGAAAAAAAATTTACAGCGTCGCATTAAATCAATTTTAGATTATTCTAGATCAAACTTAGATCAAACCGAGATTAATCTTGGATCGAACTTAGATCAAACTGAGACTAATCTTGAGCCGAGCTTACAAATAACCAATTCTGAAGATGAAATCAATGCTCGAGTTAAAGAAGCTATGGAGACAATGCGTCAAAGGTTTATTGAATCTACTCAGCAAACATTAAACTCTATCAAGCAACAAAAAGAAGTTGAGTGTAATCAAATTCATTCAGATATGGCTCTCAAGTCTAGAAATTTATTTGAACATACATTAAAAATATATATTCGGGATGGAACTATATATAATCTTATTCATTTATTGGAAGAAGCAGATGGAACACGATATCCTGACATATCTCGTATTGTAAAGAAAAATTGATCTAGATATTCGTTCCAGTTATTTTTTTTAAGTTTTCCTTACTAGTCGAGCTAGATGAGATGGTAGATACTTGAGGCGATGAATCTTGCTTCTCTTTTGATGGATCCAATACTTCTGGGGCCTTGCTAAAAGTTGGGATAATGTAAGACTTACCATGTAATTTCATTTGGAATTGGTTTTTATTCGGGTCAAGAATACCTTGAACTTTTCGAATCCATGTCATACCTAAACATAACATTGGTTCAGGTTCGCCATTATCAATACGTGTAAAATTTCCAGTAGCTGTAACAGTTTTACCATCCTTATCCTTTATACTGACTAGCACATCCGTAAACCATCCCAATGATTCAGTGCTATGTTTAGAGTTACCTTTTATATCAAAGTCAGATGGCTTGTCAGCTTTCCATCCAAGGGCATTAATTGTTGAATCATTTAAGACTCCAATCTCACTTCCGGAATCTAAGAAAGAATCAGAAATTAACAAATTATCTATTTTAGCATTTAGATATTGTAAAGATGAAAACCACTCATCTGATTCTTCCTTCTGAACTGTATAAGACTGGCACATTTTTCGCATTACCGGTGAAAGCTTTGAAAATAATTCATTATATGTTATTGGTAATATCTGTTTTTTTTTTCCGATGAATCATACCATATATCTTTTTCTTCATCACATCCACCCTCATTACCTTCCTCATTAGTTGAAACGCTATAATTTATTGGTTGAAAGGGATAAAATCGTTGTGTTCGATTTGATTTGGCTACTTGTTTTTGGGGTTGTTTGTCTATATTAAGGTGAGATAACATATTCCCAATTTCATCTACTTTCTCCTCTAATCTAGCAGAGTTAACTTTTTGCTGTATACGAGGTCTTTGAAAAGGTTTTTCAAGATAATTTGAATCTAAATTGTCTTTACTATATATTCCTAAATATACGTGTTGCCCAAATCCCAAATTACTAGTATTTGGGATTTGGGATTTGAGATTTCAGCAAAAAATACTAATCATAATTTGGGAGTTGGGATTTGGGATTTCAGCATTTGGGATTTCGACATTTGGATTTTGAATTTGGGTAGCAGGTATAGCTACAACATTGGTTTTTCCTAGTCGATATTATACTTCAAAGTCATTTGATTGTAACACCTCAAGCTATCTGGCTTGTCTTCTAGAAAAATTGTGTTGGGTTTTAATATATTCCAAAGCAGCATGGTCGGTTATAGCATAGAATTTTTGATCTTCAAGATATACCTGCTGTTAACCTTGGTTTACCTTCTAAAGAAACCAAAGAAAACTAAGCGACTAATAGTGGAAATTGTATTTATAGACT